AAAAAGAAGAAAAATTCTATGTTTATTTATCCAAGTTGTTGTTTGTTGTATTTATTTTTCCACATCGTTTGTTCACATCAGAATAGAAAATTCTCATTTTTCTTTCAGTGGAAAAACAAATAGGAAAATTTTTTTTTGGATAACCAAAAAAAAACTTCTACAGTAACCAAACAAAAAAAAGAAGAAGCTTTCACCCCCAGTTAGATTGATACTGTTGTTTTTGTTTTTGTTTGTTTATTTGTTTGGGTCTAATTAGTATCATCATCATCATCAGCATCTTTGATCCAAGTAGGGCGTCATTATTATCATTGCTAATTGGGAACTCACGATTTTTTTTGGTTGGTTGTATGCTGTAATCAATCAATTGAATGAAAATGAAATGGATGTGCTGTTGTGCGTTTTGTTGATCATCATTTATCATTTGGATCATCACATTGCATTTTTCCATTCTCGCTTACACTCTCTATATCGGTTACAGAATTTATTCTCTACAGAATCATTCAATGGAAAAGCATCCAACAAAAAAAAATTCACATAGTGTATGCATATGATTAATTTCAATCAATTCATGACAATCATTTTTAAACCCTTTTCTAGCTGAAACAATCAAAATAAAATAATAGAGAAAAAAAAATTATTTTTGACCCAAAATCATTCACATCATAGATATTGTCCATCTGGTACATCCAATTTTTATTCAATTCAATTCAAATCAATTCATTCATGAATGAATTGAATGGCTACTTTTTACTGCTGGCTCAAACCATATGCATATCCAAGTGAAAAAAAAGGAAAAAGGAGAAATTCTACAAATGATGATTGACCATGTGTGACACATGATGATGATGACGACGACATTTGCCATTTTGTGCATAGAGCAAGAAGAAAAAGAAAGTTTTTGAGTTTGATTTTTGATTCTTGTGATTTCAGAATAATCAGAATATATGTTTGCTATATATTTATTTATTTATTTATTCGGGAATATTATTTTCGGGTATTTTTGACTTTTTTTTTCTGTTCGGTTATTGTCAATCGGTACCATCTGTGTGTACGTTATGTCCATTTTCTACTTTTTCGGTTTGATTCTGCTGCTGCCGCTTGTCAGCTACTGATTTTGATGTTGGATTCTGGTTGTTTTTGTTTTACTGATTTGAGTTTAGTTTTTAATAATTAAAACAAAACTCTTTGTTTTTCGAATTGATAAATCGGTCATTCATTCATACATTTATTCGGATTTATTTTTCGTTTTTTCCCGATGGTCGAAACCGATCATAATCGGCTTTTGATTTTTTCTTGATTTTATGAAAAACATGAATTCTGTTTGAACATAAAATAAAGCAGAGGATTTTCGAAAATTTCAAAAAAAGGATTTTCAAAAAATAATCATCCCAGATCAAAAAAAAAACCATTTGTAGTTTCATTTTGTAAATTGGGTAAATTCCTTTGATTCTGGAACAACTGCTACTGTTGTTTTTCCATGAAAACCCTTTACACACACACATACTGATGCCAGGTGTGTCAAAGGTTACCATATTTTATGAAATATTGCCTTGTCCTTTTCTCGTCCTTTTGTAACCATATCTTAATGATCCATAATTTCGTTTTTTCAACCCTTTTTTTCGGTGCTCTTAACCCTAACCTTATTACAAATTCAGTAAAAAAAAAATTTTCATTCAACAACAACAACTCAATGGACTTGACTCTTTCGTTCGCTTGTTTTTTTCTGAATCTACTGAAACGGTGGAAGAAAAAAACAAGAATTTTCAAAACATGTTTCATGGATCATCATAGTTTAGCTGCTGTTCATGTTTTTTTTTTGCATGAAAGCAAACGAGCCAAACGAACGAACGAAAAAGTTTCAACAACAAAATTTTTTTTTTTTTTGCTTGTTCCAAAATCATCAAGAGAGAATAAATAAAATGAATGAATGAATAAAAAGAAAATTCTTTATCCAAATCTAAAGGCTATATTTGCATAATATCATCATCATCATCGCATGCGAGAGAGATTTGAATTAATGACCGGAACCAAGTGACCTGATGATGATGATGATGATGATATCCAATCAATCCGATGGAAAACATATTCACATTAAAGATATAACTAACTTTTCTGTTGGCATCCTAAATTCGTGAATAGGAAAATGAATATTGTTGTTATGCTAGTTCGTCACTTGGGGCTATAAGTTTATTTTCATTTTCGCATAAAACATTCATTCACAATTCCTGAATCATTTCAACTTGTAATGTTTTTAATTTATTCTTCTTCTTCGTAATTCTTATCATAGAATTTGCAGAATTTAGTTGATGTGATGTGGGTGGATAGCTGACTGAATCAGCTAACAGCATCCTATTGGCCTTTTAATTAATGTGTTCTTTGCTTGTCGGAAACAAACAAACATTTTCGGTTTTTATTTTTTCTTTCTCGGAAAAAAATGGTCAGTCAAGTTTTTTTTTGTTGTTGGTAGCTTTGATCTGTTGTTGTTGTTGATTTTGTTTCTTCTGATTTTGTTTTTCTTCACCATTAGAAACACGGATAACCAACCAACCAACCAAACTAACTAACTAGAAATAAATTTTTTTTGTGGCCAAAATGATCAATTGGATGACCATTTTTTTTCTCTTTTCTCACTCTTTCTTTTGGTTTTTGATGGTGATCAATTAGATTCAATTAATTTTCAACAACATCAACGGCAACAACAATGTGCTAAGTGCTACTGACTTGATTCTGTTGGTGATGATGATGATGTTTGTTTGTTGGTGGCTACCATTTTCTTGCCAAACCAAAACCAATATTCTACTTTACTAAGTCAGAACAAAATGACAGATGATTCTTTTAATTTTCGCAATTCTGATCAAATAATAACAAGGATGTGTGAATTCAACAGCAACACATTCACACATTTTTTTCTCCCAAAATTAGACATTGATAGATTGGCCATCATCAAACAAAAAAGTAGTAGCCTACTACCTATCTATCTTATTTAGTAGTGTAGAATGTTTGACAGTTTTTTTTTCACTGTATCAAGGATATACCGTTATTCTTTTTTTTCTCATTTGATATATCCATATCAATCATTCATTATGTTTTTTTTCGGTAACTAGTCATCCAGAATCGTTCTAGTTTTTTTTTGGATACAATTTTATTTTTCGCTAAAAGTCCTGAACTTTATCAATAATATCACTTTATGATAACGATAATTTGAACAACAACAACAACAACGATTGAAATATCGTTGACCACTCAATTACGTGACTAGAATTTTTTCAAAAAAAGTTATTTTCTGGTAAAATTTCTCAAAACATGGGGGTAGAAAATGACCAATTTCTGCATTTGGAGAGTGGATTTTTTGAATCAATCGATGGATTCAATTTTAAAGTCTTGAATGGATGCTAGAAAACGAAACGAATTTAAATATCTGATTGAATATCTGAATCAATGAAAACAAAAAAAAAGAAAGGAATTGTCCAAATCACTAAATGTATATGATTGGGTGAAGTAAGATCGCATAGCAAACATGTCAATATAAAATATAAATCCATGCTTATCAATCACAGCAACAACAACAACAACAAGGGAAAAAATCTGGAATATTTTAATATTTTTTTTTTTCGTAAAAAGAAAAATACAAAATATAATTCACCCTGTATTCTGTCCCGGATAAAAAAAAGGTGTTAAGCCCATGTGTATCTTCTCTTTCTATGATTGATTTGTTGTTGTTGTTGAAAATATTGTTGTTGATCCAAAATCTATGAAACAGCATGAAATTATCATTTGCATTATTTATAATCGATATTAGAATGTTTGTTGTTGTTGTTGTTTTTGCATCATCCTCATCATCAACAACAACAACAACAGAGAAAAGTAAATGAAAAGAAGAGAAAGTTTCGGGAGAAAAACTTTTTTGTTGAAATTTATTACATTAGATTTTTGTTTTTTTTTTACGTCATTTTATATTTTGAAATAAAAAAAGTTTTTAAATAATCCATTGATGATGATGATATTTTTTTTCGTTGACTTTTAGATGATCGACCATTGTCATACATTAATATCGAATGAACAAACATCAAATCATCATATTAATCATCTTAATCATCATCATCGTACAGGAATGGGTCCAAATAGTTTAGAATTTAATCAATCATCAAAATATAATTCAATTAATGGATTTAATGATGATGATGTTAATAATTATTGTAATCGATTAAATCAATCAACAACAACAACAACAGCACTACCATTTGTAAATTGTAATATGAATGAATTAGATGATGATTCAGATGATGATGATTTAGATGATACAGATGATGATAATGATTCTGGTGATGATGATGATGATAATAATAACGATGATATTGATGGTAATAATATCATCAATAAAAATGATAATTCTACTACTAATACATCATCATCATCATCATTATCGACAACAACAACAACAACTGCAACAACAACAACAACCAAAACAACAACAACAACAACAACAACAAATAATAATAATACAGCAAGTAGCTTATTCTATACAGCAATGACATGTTATACAAATCCTGATGTTGATCATCCTATACAATCATCATCAACAACATCATCATCATCAATAATTAATAATAATAATAAAGATAATTATCATCATCAGTCAAATGGTAATATTGATAATAATAATGATGATCATTATAATCATTCTACAACATATTCATCATCGATTGATTCACAACAACAACAACAACAACAATTACAATCATATCAATTGAACAATAATAATCGTTGTTATAATGGACAAACATTTGATGATAATAATAGTGTTATTGGTGTTAATGGTGGTGGTGTTAATGGTGGTGGAATTGTTGAAAGTGAAACATTCTATCATGAAAGACGACGTTATCATTTTTTACCGAATTTAAATTCAAATTCATCATCATCATCAACATCATCATCATCAACAACAACAGCAACAACATCTAATCTTAATTCCAATTTAGATTCCAATTCATCAAATGGATCATCATCATCATCATCAAATTCTTCAGCTATTAACAATTCGAATGCACTTGTTCCGGTAGAAAATTCTAATCAATTATTATCAACAACAACACCAATAACAGATTTAGTAAATAATCCATTCGGTGCAATAACGCCATCCAGTGGTAATAATGGACATCATACAACAGTTATGCAAAGTTCCATTATAAATCAATCGAATCATTATCATCATCATTATCACCATTATCATTATTATTGTCCACCAAATCTACATCATCAATCACCGTATCATCCGCATGCTGCATTTTTAGCTCCGCCACCACCACCTGTTCCATCACAACCAACTTCCGCACAATCAGCAACAGCAACACATCCTTTACATCATCCACATATTCCAGCGGCAGCAGCAGCAGCCGTAGCAACACCACAATCTATAATGACAACAGCGACAGCAATTAATTCACCGGCAACAGCCGTAACACATCCACATCATTCACAATTTTATCCAGCATTACCAACTGCTGGTGTTGGTAATAATTATTCAACAACAACAACAACAACGAATAATAATGGTGGTGGTGGACTTTATAGTGGAATTATTAATAATGGTTATGGTGATGATGATCTTTCAATGACAAGTAGTAATTCAACAAATCTTTCATTACCTGATGATTCTAATAGTATAACAAAATTTACTAATTTATGTTATAATAAAATAAATCCAATTTCGATATCATCAACAATAAATAACAATAATAAACGTAAATCATCATTGATTAACCATAATAATAATGATCATCATCATCATCAACTATCATCAACAAATATTAAACATTATACTGATCTTTCAGCAAGTATACCAAGATCATCATCATTGATGAATGGATCATTATCATCATCATCATCATCATTAAATGCTAATTCACATCATTTAAATGGTAGTACAACATTATCATCACAATATGAACATTCAATAACAAAAGGTAAATTTAAAAAAAAAATTTTACTAAAACTTTCATTTTTTCGAATCATAGATGGCGCGATGGGTTTCAGTTTTTTTTCTTAAATATATAAATTTACATTTCCGATTTCTCATTATCCTCGTGAAAATTAAAAAAAAATGATTTCGTAATTGAATTTTTTAGTCGGTGAATGTTATAGGTTGTTGACAAATTGAATTTGTTTTTGCTGTTGAAAAAAAAGATTTGCATCAATTTTTATCATTCAATTTCATCAATCAGGAAACAGAATCCGGACCAAGAAGAATAAAAATAAGCAAAGTCTGTTTGCTTTCGATTAATAAAACTAAACTGGTAAATAAGATTTGTTCTGTTTAGGGGGGTTTTTCGTAAACTGTAAGAACAGACTGACTGACTGATGATGGTGATAATAATTTTGTTCCATTTCCGTCAGCAATAAAGAAATATTTCTTTTCTATCTTTTCTTTTTTACCTAAACACAGACAAAACAAACACACACATTACACATTTCATTAACTTGATTTAAGATTAATTTTCTCTTGTTTCTTTCTTTCTTTCTTTCTTTCTTTCTTTCTTGTTTTCATCTTTTCATATTAGAAATTGTAATTATCAATTATTTATTTATTTATGATTGTTTTGAAACATTTGAATGATTTTTTTTTCTCTTCCAAATTGATTGAAAGATGGTTACAACAACGAAAAAATATATGGAAAATTAAGATAAAAAATGAATATAGAGAAATGACACGTGATGATTAATGAATGAATGAATATGCTTCCTTTGGAAAAAAATGACTGACTGACTGATTGATTGATTGATCGATTGATTGAAATCAGAAAAAAAATCTGATTAATGATAATAAAAACCGTTGATTTGATCAATTTTTTTATTCAATTTAGAGCAAACAAACAAACAAACAAACACAGAGATTGCACGATTGTAATAGTGTGCATAAATGGATAATAGCAAAAAAAAAAAAAAAACATTTTTTCCATGCTGGATCCACGGACTGTTTAAGATTTTGTAGAAACATTTAGTGGAAAAAATAAAAAAATTCATATTTTCATTCAAATGCAGAAAAATTCTATTGATTTTTGTTTGTTTGTTTGGCAAAATAAATCATTTGAAGCGAAAAAATTCTTCGACGAAAAAAAAAATCGAGCAACTATGTTTGAGCAACTACTGTAAACTAAATCCGAAAATGATAATTATTATCTTTTGTGTATATCCATTGATCTTTATTGTATGGATTTTTTTCTTCTTCTTTTTCTGGGTTTGAAAAATAACAATAACTGATGATGAAACTGATCATCACATTCAAACGAACAACAACAACAACAAATGAGAATGGAAGAAAGAAGAAACTGGAGAAAAATTCCTGAAAAACATCAAGAATGAATTTGATTTTCTATTTACGATTAAATAATTCTCTATTTTTGCACATCGAAAAATTCATCATCATCAAATGAAATTTAATGTGTGTGTGCGGGGGTGGATGAAATAGATATTTAATTTATCCCAGAAACTATCTCTGTGTGTCTGTGTGAATGTTTTGTTGTTGTTGTTGTTGTTTGCTGTGGCTGACAACAACAACAACAACAACAAGAATAACATTTAAAATTTTTTTTCAACACCACCAATGAAAAAAACAAATTATTTATCACTAGTAAATAAAAAAAAGGGAGAGAAAAAAACAAAATTGACATTTTAAAATAATCAGCGGAATAATCATCAACAACAACATTCTGAATTCTGAATTCTGATTTCGGAATTCTGAATTCTGTATAGATTGGATTCATTCATCCAAAAATTATTTCGATTTCGTTTTCGTTTTTTTTGGGTAAAAATTAATTTTTTATCAAGATAAAAAACGCGTGCAAAAAAAAATGATGAATTTTTTTCTTTTGAATAGAATTCCATTTGGTGGGAAAAAAAATTTGAATCCAATGATAAATGATTCCAATCATTATTATCATTATCAATTGGTTGACTATTTTTACCTTATATTTATAGTTTATTCATTTGGATTTTGGGATTTAGGATGGTGTAAAGATTTTTTTTAAATAACTTTTTTTTCAGAATTTCATTTTTTTTCGTAACAACCACACACATATCTTTTAGCAAAGCAAAATCAAAATTTAAACAAATTTTTTTTTCTTTTGAAAATATTCAAACAAACAAATAGCAATGACATATGTGTATATGCGCACAATCTATCTGAACTATAGTAGGAAACGAACAAACAAACAAACAAAAAAATTCAAATCAAATCAAATCACACGAATGTATGGATATATATTCAAATTCATATATTTTCATGGGCGTTTAAATAATATCTTCGACAGGGAGAAAGTGAAGAAAAAAACAGAAAATTTTGCCTAGAAATTAATGAATATTTTGTTTTCTTCTATTACTGTATTGATGGGTTATGTTGTGTTTTTCAGCATTATGTAATAATTTACAACAACAGCAACTATTTTGACACATGGGACATCATCATCACTTAATATCATCAAATGAAAATATGTTATTTTAGTTTCAGTATCAATCGAAACAATCCCAACCAATCAACTAACAACTAAATGATGCCAGTAGCAAATTCATCATCATCATCGATTATATGGTGTTATTTTTTCTGAAAAATGTTTTTTTTTGTTTGTTTGTTTTTTTCTTGATTAACTAATGATGATGATGATGGCTAATTAATGTGACAAACATTAGCAAAATGCATTGATTCATCTCTCTAAGGATTCCAGATGCTCGTTGCCCTCCGGATCATTTGAATTTCATTGAATCGAGTAGTAAATTTTAAGTAAATCATTTCGGAATTTGAATTCAGTTGAATTGAAGAGTTGAATATTCAGCTAGAAAAAAAACGATCGAAATGTTAAATTCATTTTGGTGGAATTTCGTTCAAAGTCAGGCACTTTCAAGCCTTTATCTACGTGTTTTACAATATCAATTAAATCAACAACAACAACAACAACAATCATCACCATCAACATCGACAACGATAATCGATCCAAATCTACCATCATCATCATCATCATCATCATCGGTGGTAAATCATCAGCCAATAGCATCAGCATATTTAAATGATTTTATTAACACGACCAACAACAACAACAACAATGATGATAATCATCCAACAAAAGATCAATTCAAACATCCATATGCAAATTTATCTGCATTTAAAAATCATGATCAATCAATCAATGTCGAACAACAACAATTAGACAGAAAAATTGATTTAAATTTAGAAAAATATTGGCCATCAATTTTAAATTCAGAAACTAATCATCATAATGGTCAAAATATTGAACAAGATTCATTGAAAAATTCATCATCATCAAATCCGAATCCTAATCATCAAACGATATTAAAAATAAATTCACAATCAAGTAATATTCAATCATTCTACACTGTTAAAAACCGCCTGAGGTTATATCCTCAGAATAAGAAAAACCCGAGGTTATATCCCCAGATTCCGAAAAATCTGAGTTTATATCTTCAGATTATTTTAAATCTGGGGTTATAAACTCATTTTAATTTTAAAATGGGGATATAACAACAAGTAAAAAAATTCGAAAAAAATATTTGAGGATATATTCCCATTTTAAAATCGAAATGNTTCGAATTTGGTGAATAAGGTAATCAGTGTTCCAACGATTATTAATGGCATTTACTGTACTCAAAGAGTCAGTATAGATAATTGCAGTACTTTGTTTATCCTTTAACCAAAAGGCAGCCCGCTCAATAGCGAATTGTTCAGCTTGATAAACCGTACAATAGTTTGCCAATCTAAATTTAGCTTGAAAAATATATTCCCATTTTAAAATCGAAATGAATTTATAACCCCAGATTTAAAACAATTTGAGGTTATATCCCCATTCTGAAATTAAAATGGGGATATAACCTCAAATTAAAAATGAACTGAGGATAAAACAGAATTTGTAAAAAAAGTTCGATATTATATTCCCATTTTAAAACCTCATATTTTTTTGATTTGGAGTTATATCCCCATATTTGTTTGGTCTAGAGTTATATCCCCATATTTTTTTGGTCTGGAGTTATATCCCCATATTTTTTTGTTCTGGAGTTATATCCCCATATTTTTTTGGTTTGGAGTTATATCCCCATATTTTTTTGGTTTGGAGTTATAACTCCCGAGTTTCTGTTCTTGGACTTATAACCCCAATTCTAGCAAAACCTGAGGATATAACCTCAGGCGGTTTTTAACAGTGTATTTTTGTTTGTTTATGTTCCAATTGGAACAACAATTTTTTTTCTAACTTATAATAATGATTATTATTATATAACCATTCA